CACATTTGTGCACGTGGCCTGTTACTTCTTTTTGCTTGCATGTGATCCCAGGCTCCCATCTGTCCCCTACCACAGCTGTCTGGGACCACGTCTCTCCAAGTGTCTGATTTCTCTTCCAATTTGGGACTAACCCTGCTCCACCTAACCCAGAAGCCGTCTGCTTCTCCTGGCAGAGTCTGGCAGGTGGTGACAGTGAAAGATGTTTTTCTCTCCGAATCACAGACTCCTCTCTTTGTCCAAGTCAAGCCCAGCCTTGCAGGAGACATGGCGGGAATTACGTGGACTCTAATCACCTTCCATGGCTCCAGCATCTGGGACAATTTGGCAAATACTCAGTTTATATCGGGGATCTAAAAGGAAAGAGCTGCATGTGACACTGCGAGGGAAGAGCCTGTGGCATGTGACATCTGAGCAAACAGAGTGGGAGGCTAGGAGAGGGGACATGGGAAAGCAAGACTTAGACCCTAGACCCCCGAGCAACAGCGGTATAGACAGAGTCCTCCGGCCACATGTCCCACTGTTCATAGCACACTCCTGGGAGAGCTCAGTAAACAGCAGGCGTTTAATAAGCCGTAGTGCCACATCCCCAGCAATGACATGAGGGATGCAGACGAGCTGACTGGGGAAGTTCCTTCCACATTGGAGGCTCTATGATTCTGTGATGTGTTGACGTTTTCAAACTTGACCCGGCTGGGACTGACCTCCCAGTTCAGCTCCATGCACACAAGGGACAGCCAGACTCTCTTTGGTATTTGACTCCAGGTCCAGACAGTCTGTGGGTCACAGAGAGTATGCAAATGAGTGCATCTGTGTGTCAATAAAGCTTCCATCACCAAACCAGGTGGTGGGTCAGAGCTTGCCTGTGGCTGTCCTGGGCCATGAGAAGTTTTGCTTTGTGCTCAGTAGACCAGAGCAAACCCTCATTCACTTGCTCTCCTCTGCATCCCACAGCTCTTCTCCCAGTGCCTGCCACGTGCCAGGCATTCCAGAAGTGTGTCTTTCAAGTTGTTGGACAGCGTCCCACGAATGCGTCGTACAGACAGGATCTGGCCGAGAACTGTCCTTGTTACGGGCATTTCCTCTTCTTAGAATAGAGTTCCCAGAGAATTTTAGCGTTTCTTATGGGAAAATCACGCTGCTGATTTTACCTGATAGCCCATTAAAATCCCCAATTTGTGTGCATGTTTTACATTTCAGAAATGAAAATCTCTCTTACACACACACACACACACATACACATGCGCACGACCATATGTACAGCACAGCTCTTCTTAGGTTTTGCCAAATCATGACAGACACACACCCTGGCAGCTTAGATGCAATCTTACATGCCCTGAGATGTCATCACCAGGCAGTGTCACCTACAGTGACTGCAGACAGTGTGGTCTGGGGAGGTGTCTGGGCAAAGGATCCTGGGAGATGGGCATTCATCACAACAGTTACAATGCCCCCAAGACTCCCACATCCCAAACCTGAGTGCCTGCGTTCAAGTCCTGGCTCTTCTCCCAATTCCAGGGAGAGGGCAGTGATGGTTCAAGTACGCGTGTCCCTGCCACCAGTGTGGGAGAACAGACTGAGCTCCAGGTCCCTGGCCTTGCCCTAGCTATTGCAGGCATTTGGAGAGTGAACCAGTATATGGAAGATCCATTTCTGGCTGGCTGGCTGGCTATGTCTTTCCCTTTCAAATAAATAAATATTAAAAAAAAAAAAAAGTTTTGTTGCTGATTGAAACTCCAACTGGGCACCCTGAATTTAAAAAAAAAATCTCGGTCCCAACCTCCCCCACCACGTTCTGCCAGGTGGTCCTGGGCTGTCACTCATCTGCTCAAAGCCCACGGCAACAAACGCACAACGATAAGGTCTGACTACGTGGCCTCCAGGGTGCCTTTCCACAAAAACGCCACACTTCACCAGTCCTGGAGTGGAACGTGCAACGCAGCCAAGTGCAAGCGCCAGTGCTCTGGGAGAGGCGGCTGGATCTCCAACGAAACAGCAATTCCATTCACTTCAACTCTGTGGAAGCTCGGGACCTTCACCTCTGCTTTCACACCAGCAAAATGAATGCCCTGGCCTGCGGCAAGGCAGCTTTGAAACAGACAGTTCCACGGCGGCAGGCGGTTTCCTCGTGCACACGCACGTCCTGTCTGCTCCTAGACGGCAGGTAAGTGTGAACACCTAACTCAGCTAAGCTCCCCAGCTCTGTCCACTCCCCTTCATGTGTCTCTCACTCTGCTCCCTCAGAGCTTTGCACAACGAAAATGCCTGCCCTGGGCTCCAGCATCGCATGTGGGAGCCACCACGCTCCTGGGCCAGGACTTTCCCTCCCAGACTCTCCCATGTGCTGGATTCTCAGCTGCTCAGATCAGGGTGAATGGGTGTCAGCACTAAACACCTGAACAAACACCAAACTTCTTGGTGGTATCAATTTCCGTGAAAAGCAGAATCAGAGATGAACAAAACAAGGAGCTGCACCCAGCCATGTCTCTAGGATCGAGTAGAAAGTCCCCTCACAGAAGCACCCAAGGGTAAGCCAGGGGTCACGCAGCACACCTTCTGTAAAACACGCAAACACCACAGGTGACACACAGCGAGGCCACGAGCCTGCAAACCCTGGATGCAGAGGAGGGTGTGGCCTTTAAACCCAGGATGTAGCCGCAATCCCTACAGCACAATCTTGTATGTGTCTTTCGTTACAACAAATCTTCTTTAAGGTACATTTGAGTTTCCAAAAATGTCAGAGTCCAGCCTGATGAATTAAGTGAGACAACATTATCAGATGGCTCAACCATCTGATGCAGTCAATAAGGACTTTTTTAGGTGCCACCAAAGCTGATCCTCTGACTACACCAGCAGTGTGTTGGCTTAAAAACAAAACAAACAACTCAGACTTTTTACTTTCAATTCAAAGATGGTCAAAATGTAAGCTCAAGGTGATAAGATGGCAGGATAAAAATAAAGTTACAAGCAGCAAGGGATGGTTAATAATCTTTGACATCCCTGGGTACTCAAATCCACCACTTAAAATACCTTGGGTGCTGGTTGTGACAGGTGTTTCCGTAAGGAACGAGAGGGAATAAAAACAAATTTAGAAACTCACAGCTGAGCTTCTCTGTCTGAAACAAGGGTCAAGGGGCCAGGAGACGGAGCGCACACCAATTAGGACTTGTCGGACGCCAGGCAGGCTCAGGCGAGGAAAGACAGCGAGAGGCGAGAAAGCAGAACCTGCTGGGGCTCCTGGGTCCCCGCGGCTGCAGCAAACCCTCCAGAGTGGAGTGAGCTCCTCGCACAAGGTAAAGAACATCCCTGGGTGACCTGAGACCCTCAGCTCCTGTCACCTCAAAACTTCTAGACAAAAGAAACGAATTCCCTCGGACTCAGATCGGCTCCGGGTTTGAGGAGGTGCCACCGGGCCACCATCTGATGGAAGACCCATGGCCTGCAGTCCCAGGGGTGCCACGGCACCACCCTGGGGGGTCCCGGCCATAGCAGGAAAAATGAAATGAAAGCTGGGGAACTTTTCCCTTGGCTATTCCTTAAAGGACCTCTTTCCAAGTCACTCACAAAAATGAGCACTACCTGGAGAATGGGAGCCACTAAAGGAGTCCACAGTCCCTCCCTCCCCGCCTCCTGACCCAGCCACCACGCTGGAGCCACCAGAGGCGCCCGTCCTCCTGACCCAGCCACCACGTCCTCCCTCCCTCCTTCTGATCCTCCTGACCCAGCCACCACGACCCCCCTCCCTCCCCTCCTCCTGACCCAGCCACCATGTCCTCCCTCCTTCTGATCCTCCTGACCCAGCTACCACGACCTCCCTCCTTCTGATCCTCCTGACCCAGCCACCATGACCTCCCTCCTTCTGATCCTCCTGACCCAGCTACCACGACCTCCCCCCTTCTGATCCTCCTGACCCAGCTACCACGACCTCCCCCCTTCTGATCCTCCTGACCCAGCCACCACGTCCTCCCTCCTTCTGATCCTCCTGACCCAGCCACCACGTCCTCCCTCCCTCCTTCTGATCCTCCTGACCCAGCCACCACGTCCTCCCTCCCTCCTTCTGATCCTCCTGACCCAGCCACCACGACCTCCCTCCCTGCATCTCACTTCATCTGCACTCGTTTTCCCAGCGACTTCTCCTGCTGACCTTCGTCAGGAAGCTTCCCTGAGTGAGGGCTGGGAATGACACAGGTGCAGCATAAAACAGGGCAGTCAGGAGATGTCCTCGCTGAGGCCCGTGACTCCCGCTGCCTGCCTGCCCCCAGCCTCCTCTGCACTCCTGGTGCCTGCTCTTCCTGCTACCTCAGGACACGGAGGCACTGTCACTGTCACTTGGGGTGAAGATCTGTTTGCAGGTCAGGGGCTGCAAGGTGTGAGGCTGACCTCTGGACACTGCAGCAGCAAAGACTCAGGGGATGAAGAAAGGAGCAGGCAGGGCAGAGCTGCTGGCACCGCGGCTCTGGGAGAGGAGCGGATCCTCTGCGACCTGGTCTCACATGTAGAAAGTCTGTCACCATGGAAAGCATGGAGATGGAACGTGGTAGTTCCCTGGCCGTGCCACGGCCCAGCTCACAGCCGCACATCAAGCTGACTGCTGTCTCCACGGCTGCAGCCTTCTGCAAAGACCTCAGGTGGGGACCCTTACAGCCCAGGACGCTGTGTATCTGTCACTCTCAGCTGCAATCCACAAAGCTGGCTAGCAGCGAGCAGACAGATGCAAGGGTCTGGGGGAAGGCGAGGGGACCCTGGGCAGCACACAG